TGAAGATGGGCTCAAACATAATTGGTGGCTAATGTGGCCAATACAATAGGGAAGCAGCTCTACATCTTAGTCTGAACTTATGGCCCTTCCACACAGCCCTATATCCCAGAATATCAAGGCAGAAAATCCCACATTATCTGAGTATAGACTCTGATAACCCAGTTCAAAGCAGATGTTGTGGGATATTCTGCCTTGATATTCTGGGATATAGGGATGTGCACATTGTCTGAACTATCCAATGAACCAAGACCTATCCTCAAATAGGTTCACCATACTGGAAAGCTTCTCTAATGTTTGGACTAAAGCTTGGAGCTGATTCATCTCCATTCTGACATAAGAGCCATAAGCCACCATCAAAACAAATAATTCATTAAACTGTATGGCGGCCTTCCACACAGCCCTATATCCCAGAATATCAAGGCAGAAAATCCCACAATATCTGCTTTGAACTGGGTTATCTGAGTCCACACTTAGATAATGTGGGATTTCCTGCCTTGATATTCTGGGATACAGAGCGGTGTGGAAGGGCCCTGGGAGGACAGCAGTACTCTACTGGCCCATTAAGATCTATGAACATAACTACTGATGAAGCTCCAGATATACTTAGATACAGCTCCCATTATCTGCAGTCAGTAAAATTTGGGAGAAGCTGATCAGGAATATGAAAACTCTTCATATCTATGAATATTCATAGTCTTCAGTGTGGTCAGCTTGAAAGATCCACATACTTTACTAACTTATATGCTATAGCTTGCTAGATTCAGACTACTATGTACAGCAATCCACCAGGAAACCATTACAGGTAGGTCTAAAAGTCAACGCATCCCTTTCATGGCCTGCCTCAAAAACCATTTCTGCTGGTCTCTCAACCAGGTTATAGTAAAGAGCATATGTTTCCATTCATGTCCTTTTGTTATAAGCAAGCAGCTCCCCAAACGGAACTAACTACAAAATAGCTTTTAGTCATGCAAAGAGATACTGTGTAAAAGGGGAAGGGGAGATCTATCTAAGTGCATATTTTATTACCCAGGTTCTAATAGTAACTTAAATGCACTATATTTAAAAGCACATTAGAGATCGTCTACACGTAGTCATCAAACACTGGAAGATGGGAAAGGAAGTGATAGAATCACTTTTGTAGTGGACACTCAAGGAGATGCCAGCCTCCAAATTCCAGAGTGCTCTCAAATTCATGCGTGCTGGATGAAATGATGTTATTGATTTGGACACTAAGAGTTTGTTTGATTGTGTCTCTCTAAATATGTATGTGGTGTCTAATGCTGTTAGACAAAGCCCCTAGCCAATATGGTTTGCCTCTAGGAAAAGTCATTATGAGTTGCTGGCAAGGCTTTTAAATATACACACTATTTATGGCCTAACACATGTTGGGTTTCCTGGATATATCTCCTCAGAGGCGATTATGAATGTAATAAATGCCCTCGCTTTTGCATAGCTGAATTTCTACACTGATTATGGCCAACTGCAGAGATGGGAAGATTTCAAGTTTGTGGCATCTAGTTGTTTTTCTAAAGAGATTTAAAAATGTTACTTTTATGGATTATGATTCTCTAAATTTTCCAGTCTATGTGGACTAAATCTGGGCTAAAACCTTGATGTTTGGACCAAAATTCCTGTCATAAGTCAACCTGATGGTAGATAAAGACAGCATTGAAGAATGGATCCCACTTGGTATCAATGTGTGTAAATGTGTGTCTTCAAGTCAACTGGTGATTTATGGTGACTCCATTAATTTCCTAGCATTTTCTAGGACAATGAATACTCATAAAGTGGCTTGCCAATACTTTCCTCTGAGATACAGTCTGTATGGTTTGGTATCTGTTGGTGGTCCTCCATCCAAGTAGTAACTAGGTCTGATTGTGTTTACCTTCCAAAGTCAACTGGATTCTGGTGGCTTTAGGGCAGTGGTTCTCAACCTGTGGGTCCCCAGATGTTTTGGCCTACAACTCCCAGAAATCCCAGCCAGTTCACCAGCTGTTAGAATTTCTGGGAGTTGAAGGCCAAAACATCTGGGGACCCACAGGTTGAGAACCACTGCTTTAGGGTATTTAGGCCTTTTTCCTGGTATCAGCAGCATTTGATAAAGTTTGATAAATCACAGTTCCCCAGTGGTTTTAGGATTACAATTCCCATCATATCTATCCAAGATAGCCAATAGTTACAACTCCGTAAACTCTGGAGGGTCACCCTTTCTTCAGTTCTGAGACAGAACACCTTTGCTTGCTTCAGAATTTCATTTTCTCTCAGCTTCTACATAGATTCAGGCAAAAACTCGATGCTAAATTCATATTTAATCTAAAGTCTTAGAAAAGGCAAAACTGTTCTGAAGGAAAACTATTGTCTCCTAAAGGAACTCACTTTTGATTAGTTTTACTCTTATAAAGCGATGACTCTTATGAGAATTGAAGCTGAATATAGCATCTGTCACTCTTTATTGATTGCAATTGTAGTCTGTGCCATTAAAAAGAAGATATTGCCAGATACAAAGCTATCAGCAGCATGTTTTATTCATCTGTAAATGGTACACTTCCCTGCAAAAGACTTTGACATCTGCTTTCACCTTTCCTTTGGAATATTTACATGTCTCACCTGTGCATTTCTGAAGTGCCTGAGGCAAAAGCAGAAATTGCGTTGGTCTCAAGAAGTTCCCTGACTGAAACTCCCAACACTGTTTATCACTGGTTGTTTGGGTTTCTAGGAGTTGCAGTTCAACAACATCTAGGCCCCTTCCACACAGCTGAATAAAATCCCGCATTTTCTGCTTTGAACTGGAATATATGGCAGTGTGGACTCAGATAACCCAGTTCAAAGCAGATATTTTGGGATTTTCTGCCTTGATATTCTGGATTATATGTCTGTGTGGAAGGGCCCCTAGAGGGCTACAAAATTCCCACTTATGGCTTCCATGTATTTGTATGTTGCTGCTAATCAGAGCCCGGATTCATGTAGCTTTCCAGATTATATTGCCAGCATTCCCCACTATGGATGATATTGACTGGGGTTGATGGGAGTTGTGTTCCAATAGCCATAGAGCACTGATTATTATTATTGAGGTAGTCTGAAATACATCCAGAAGTTCAATAAAACTCATTTTGATTTATAACTCTCTCTCCCCGCCCCCTTTTCCAAGGCTGACAATTTTATGAAAATTGACATCACATTGTTTTCATCATTCAGTCTGCAGTCATGTTTGAAAGTACTATTTCAGCTTTGCTGTTGGCATATAACTTATGGTGACCCTATCACAGGGGTTTCTTGATAATAGTTATTCAAAGGAGGTTTGCAATTGTCTTCCTCTGAAACTGAGGATATCCAATGGATTTCCATGTTTAAGCAGAAATTTGAATCCTGGTTTCCCAGTGCCCTTCCACACAGCCCTATATCCCAGAATATCTAGGCAGAAAATCCCACAATATCTGCTTTGAACTGGGTTATCTGAGTCCACACTCAGATAATGTGGGATTTTCTGCCCTGATATTCTGGTATATAGGGATGTGTGGAAGGGCCCCCAGAGTCCTGTCCAATGCTCATACCAGTTCGCTGTGCTATCTCTAAAACTTTGGTTTTAGTGTGGTAAAAATGCATGACAAAAGTCTTTCCTAAATCCCTCACGCCTAATTATCCTAACATCTTGCCTGATAAAGAAATCTATAGAGCTAGCATACACTTTATATGACTTTTTTATTGGCCCAATAAGGGTATTTGTAGTCAATGTGGAATTTGTTTTATGGCCAATGCAGTTACCTCATGTTTTGGTAACTATGTACTTTGTATGAGCTTTCAGTACAGCAAGGGGATGCTGGATAATGGCAATGGTAACTTAAGTGTCAGTGGCGAAATGAATCTGTCCAGGCTTTAGTGCAAATGTTAAAGGAGCTAACTAAAGAGTGGAGCCCTATTCTTGAAACAAGCAAGAACCTTGGATAACTCAGGCCCCATCTACACTGCCATATAATCCAGATTATGAAATTGGATAATCTGCATTATCTGCTTTGAACTGGATTATATGGAAGTGTAGACTCATATAATCCAATTCAAAGCAGATAATGTGGATTATCTGCTTTATTAATCTGGATTATATGGCAATGTAGAAGGGGCCCAAGACAGAATTCTTGTGCCTCAGCGAACTATGAACCCCAGGATTCCATGTGATAGAACTACAGCTGTTAAAGTGGAATCGTAGTGCCATAATTGTGTAGTGTGAAAGAACACTGAATCAAACTTTGCCAAGATGGTGTTCTTCACCATTCCTGGGTTGGATTGTTTGGGGCCGGATTCCACAATGAAAGGGTTCCAGTTTTTATAGGTAAATGCACTGCAATCGAACAGCCCACGCGTGCTTATTTTCATGGGCTTTATCCATCTTATTTTTAACAGAGACATTTGGACGGGAAGGCTTTCTACCTGAGGGAGTCCCAGTTTAGATCTTAGCATAATGAAATAGCTGCTGCTTCCTATGAGAGGCAGGCGGAAACATTGGCCTCTGGCTCATAGCAAACTACGGCAGGATGTCAAATGTGTCCCATTCTCCGTGCAGCTTCAGAGAGTGAAATAATTGACAGAGAGCCCAGTGCTACTCACTCGTTTGGAACCGTGCCCTGGAGTTCACATAAAACAAGTACTTTTATTGTGCTGCTTCCCCCCTGAGTTCATCCCCCCCTCCCTTCCCCAACACATCGGTCCCTCCTCCTTGCTCTATTTTCAGAGCAAATAAAGTCACAAAGAATGGAAGCCAAAGGAAATTGTTTGTGGCTGGGGTGAGCAAAAAATAAAATAAAATAAAGCCATGTCTCCTAAACTGGAAATCAAAGCACAATTTATACTTGGGTATATTCTGGAGAATCCATTCAACTAGCTGCACAGCATTCCTAAGCATGGCTCCATAGAACTGTTGTGTTTTGCTGGCGCCTGGGTTTATTACCAAACATTTAGGAACAAGCTTGTGCCTAAATTTAACCCAGGCACTGTAAAGTTTCTGGTACCTCAAGGGAATGGCACACGGGAATGAAGAGGCATACATCTCCTATGGGAACAGTGGTGTCTGTGCAGTTTTCGCCTTGAAGCCAGGTTAGCTGGAAAAAAAGAGAGAGAATGTTGAAAGAGTTGAAAGAACAAGAGGTCAAAATAAATCGCAGGTAAACGAGGACCAGTTTGTACTTTGGTGTAGGCCAGAAGGTCTTGCTCCAAAATGTTATTCCCTCTGCTAAGACTTCTACAGATAGGATTCCTATTAAGACAATGATTCCCAATCTTTAGTCCTCCAGTTGTGCTGGATTTCAGCTCCCACAATTCCTAGCAGCTGGTAAACCACCTGAGATTTCTAGGAACTGAAGCCTCAAACATCTGGAGGACCAAAGGTTGGGAACCACTGTTAACATAATGAATTCATTTTTATACTCAGAAATTTTGAGGAAAACATGAGAGGTTTTCTGGTAGCAAGGCTGCCTTCTTTGAGCATCATTCAATCTCCCTTCCACATTGCAGGTCATACAACAACCAGTTATAGTGCAGCTATTATATAATAACCTATAGCAGTGTTTCTCAACTTAGGGGTTGGGACCCCTGGGGAGGGGTCACAAAGGGTCGCCAAAGACCATCAGAAAACACAGTATTTTTATTTATTCTGTGTGGGAAGTTTGGCCCAACTCTATCATTGATGGGGTTCCGAATGGGCTTTGATTGTAGGTGAACTATAAATCCCAGTAACTACAATCCCAAATGTCAAGGTCTACTTCCCCCAAACTCCAACAGTGTTCACATTTGGACATATTGGGTATTTGTGCCAAGTTTGGTCAAGATCCATCATTGTTTGAATCCACAATGCTCTCTGGATGTAGGTGAACTACAACTCCAAAACTCAAGGTCAATACCCACCAAACCCATCCAGTATTTTCTGTTGGTCATGGGTGTTCTGTGTGCCAGGTTTGGTTCAATTCCATCATTGTTGGAGTTCAGAATGCTCTCTGAGTGTTGGCGAACTATAAATCCCAGCAAATGTCAAGGTCTATTTTCCTCAAACTCCACCAGTGTTCACATTTGGGCATATTGAGAATTTGTGCCAAATTTGGTCCAGATCCATTATTGATTCACAGTGCTCTCTGGATGTCGATGAAGTACAACTCAAAGTCAATGTCCACCAAATTCTTCCAGTATTTTCTGTTGGTTGTGGGGGTTCTGTGTGTCAAGTTTGGTTCAATTCCATCGTTGGTGGTGTTCAGAATGATTTTTGATTGTAGGTGAACTTTAAATCCCAGCAACTACAACTCCCAAATGACAAAATCAATCCCGCCCCAACCCCACCAGTATTCAAATTTGGGTGTGGCGGGTATCTGCGCCAAATTTTGTCCAGTGAATGAAAATATACCCTGCATCTCAGATATTTGCACTATGATTCTTAACAGTAGCAAAAATACAGTTATGAAGTAGCAACAAAAATAATTTTATGGTTGGGGTCAGCACAACAGGAGGAACTGTATTAAGGGGTTGCGGCATTTAGAAGGTTGAGAACCACTGACTTATGCAATCATTTGCTAGATTAGAATTCTTTACAAAGCCCTCACCTGCCTATGTTAAAGACACAAGATCCACCCAAACAGAGTAGTCTTTAGCATATTTGCTCAGAAGTCAGTCCACCTGAGTTTGAGGGAATTTACTTCTGACTAAGCATGCAAAGGCCACAATATTATGCACACCTGGGGTGAAATCCCAGTGTGTTTGGTGAGATTTACCCCTCTTGGCAAGTGAATAAAACAAAAGTTGATCATTTAAAATGTATTAAAGTGTTTGATCCACTGAGCATCTTACCAAAATACACATACACACAAAACCTCCATTGCTGGCTTTATGGAAGAGTCATGAATGTATTAAATAAAATTGGTGAATGGAAGGAACCATTAAGACAAGACTAATGTTTTCAAAAGTTTAGTCATTTAAACTTAATTTTTGCAAATGCTCTAGTCTTCAGAGCTAAATGGATTTTCAAAACAGAATAAACAACGGCAGAGAATACTTGGTAGATATCAATACAACAGTGCTTGAAAACAGAAGAGAAAATGCATTTGAACTGAGTATTGATTAGTGGCATCAGAGATCCATAGCAATGGCTAATTTTATAAAAGAGGTTCCCTGAAAAGGAAATCCAATGCTATTAATCTGCCTTATTGAACTGAAGAAGACAGAAGCTGCATCTTAAACTGGTTTCAATCTTTTCCTAATCAGAAAATCACTAGGAGGACAGGCAAGATTCCCCTTGCCAACAGCCTCGCCCATGGAATAATAATAGTAAAATAGAATCCATGCATCCTATCAGACTTGTCTAATGTGACCATTTGGTAGGGAGTGTGGAGTTGTTATTCTAAAGAGCTGTAGTACCAAATCTTCCCCAGTCATGGTGTATGTTTTGTATGTTTGCATGGGATGAAAATGACCTACAAATTCTAATTGGTGGTGGGGCATTTTTAATCCTTTAGATCAGTGTTTCCCAACCTGAGGGTTGGGACCCCTGGGGGGATCATGAAAGGGATTTCAGAGGGGTCACCAAAGACCATCAGAAAACATATATTTCTGATGGTATTAGGAACCATTTTTGGCAGAGAAGGATAAGATCTCTCCGCCTGTCCTTCTCTTCCTTTTTGGTGTTGGTGAACTACAACTCCCAGAATTCAAAAACACCCCCCCCAACCCCACCAGTATTCAATGTTGGCCATGTAGGTAGAGTGCCAAGTTTGATGCATGTCCACTGTGGGCTGGGCTCAGAATGCTCTTTGATTATAGGTTAACTGTAAATCCCATCAACTCCAACTCCCAAATGTCAAGGCCTATTTTTCCCCAATTCCACTAGTGATCACATTTGGGTGTATTGAGTATTTGTACCAAGTTTGGTCCAGATTCATCATTGTTTGGGTCCATAGTGCTATCTGGATGTCGGTGAACTACAACTCCAAAACTCATGTTCATGTTCACCAAACCTTTCCAGTACTTTCTGTTGGTCATGGGAATTCTGTGTGCCAAATTTGATTCAGTTCCATTGTTGGTGGAGATCAGAATGCTCTTTGGTTGTAGGTTAACTATAAACCCCAGTAACTACAACTCCCAAATATCAAGGTCTATTTTCCTCAAACCCAGCAGTGTACAAATTTGGATGTATCTGGTATTCATGCCAAATTTGGTCCTGTGAATGAGAATAGATCCTGCATATCAGATATTTACATTACGATTCATAAAAGTAGCAAAATTACAGTTATGAAATAGCAATGAAAAGAATTTTATGGTTTGGGGCCAGCACAACATGAGGAACTGTATTAAAGGGTTGCGTCATTAGGAAAATTGAGTAACACTAGTTTAGATAGTGGGAAAATGAGAGGCAGAGGTTTTCTTTGTAACCCAGTCTTATAGGTTAACATTTGAGTTTGGATGTGTAGAGTGCTTCTATCTAAGCTCAGCTCTGATGCTCATAGGATGATCTCAGCAAGCTGGCACTCTCAGTTTCCAGGAAAGTGGTTGAACTAAAAGGATTTTAGGTTCCTCAAACCAGCAATATCTCCACAGTTTCTAGATCTAGTTGGAAATAGTAGAATAGAGATCCAATTGCCATGGCCCCAAATGACTTCTATATTCTATCAGGCATGAAATTGTAAAAGAAACCCAAAGTAGGTGCTGGGAAAACAGCACCAGATTTCTCCTCAGCATCTTGTAAGATATATGGATAGGCACAACAGGCACAATTTGACCCAGATCAAGTAAGATCAAGTAAGTTCCCCTCCCCACACTAGCTTCTGCACCTAATGTCCTTTGACCCATTGATCACTAGATCTCCTGGGATCTTGATAGATTGACTACAAAAGCACTCTGAATAGATGCTTTTCTCCTTGCCATCCTATCAAGAGAGCGGGGTCTGATTTCCAGTAGCTTTCAGGATAACTGAGCCCCTGTGTATCCATTCTGATTTCCTGTTGTGGTTTTGTTAGTGCAAGAAAAGACAGACTAACATTATGGCAAAATACATTTTTAAATGTTATTCTTGCTGGAAGGACTTGAAAGGTACATTACCACCAGCTGCCTATAGTACTTAGGTTTTGCCCAAGGCTGACATCCACTTCAGGCTATTTGTTCAAGAGTTATAGCAGTAAAGTTAATGAAACCAGGGGAGAGTCGGTGGTTTGGAGATGTCAGTTTTAATCAGAAAGGTGAGTCCCTTTATTGAAAGAGCTAGCAAGAGAGCAATTCTGCAAATATCTTGTGCATTTAGAGAACATGAAACAGTAAAATCAATTCTCCTCTTTGCTCTTTCAAATCTTGGTATACATTTATTGGCAGCTTTCGATATTTGTAGGTATCTAGAGTGCATTTATGAATTAGGAAAGCAAAACTAGATATATACTTAAACCACTATCTCAGACATAATCAAAGAACTGTAAAGCCATAATGATGATGATGATGATGATGATGCAAGCAATATTGACCAAGTAGTGTGGATAATTTCTAATGAAAAGCAGTAAAATGCCAGTATTTATTTATTTATGACATTTATATCCTGCCCTTCTCACCCCGAAGGCAACTCAGAGCGGCTTACAAGTTATATGTACATACGATATATTATATTATTAGCCTAATAGAATATTAGTATTATATAGTACTATATTGTACTATACCACTATACCGCAATTTTAATAGTAATATTACATGTAATATATCATTATTATATTATTATATTGTATTATTAGTAGTACTATATTGTATTACAATATTGTGATCAAGATTATGTGTACATACAATATATTATAATTATTAGAATAGTAAAATATTAGTATTAGATATTACTTTACTGTACTATACCACAATATTGCAATATTATTAGCAATATTACATCTCATATATAATATATAATACTTATATTATATTGTACTAATATTAGTATTATAGTGTATTACAATATTGTGATCAGTCTTATATGTACATACAATATATTATATTATTAGCATAGCACCATATTAGTATTATATATTACTGTATTGTACTATACCACTATACTGCAATATTATTAGTAATATTACATGTAATATATAATATAGAATTATTATATTGTATTATTATTACTTTGTATTACATTATAATATTATTATCAATATTATGTGTATATACAATATATTATATTATTAGCATAGCACAATATTAGTATTATATATTACTATATTGTACTATACCACTATACTGTAATATTATTAGTGATATTGCATGTAACATATAATATACAATTAGTATTATATATTACTATATTGTACTATACCAGTATACTGCAATATTATTAGTGATATTGCATGTAACATATAATATACAAATATTATATTGTATTATTATTACTATTATATTGCATTACATTGTAATATTATTATCAATATTATATAAAATGTATTATATTATTAACGCAGCACAATATTAGTATTATATATTACTATATTTGCATTGCACAAACACAACTCTTTCTCACACACAAATATTTGCATTAGTTCAACCTGCATTACACAAGCTTTAGTTGGAGCTTACTCATACGACTGAGTTTGACGGGTCATAATATTACACTTCTGTGTTCGCATTATTGTGACAAAAACATCACTAGACACCTCTGCAAATGTTGTATTTTTAAAGAAAAGGTTTCATTTTGCACACACACAAGCACACAGAGCTGCAGGGATAGTTGATTCTTAATTTGCCATCTCTTAATGAGAAATAAAAGACCTGGGTTTGTGCTGAACCTAAAAAAAGTGATGAGCAGCATCTATTAATTCACTGTTCTTGTGGCTTTTATTGATGTCGGGGCTGAGAAAGGCACATAGAGAGACCCCAAACACACAGAAACATCCCCTAAACACACACATAGTATAAGGAAGCAGAGAGAGAGAGAGAGAGAGAGAGAGAGAGAGAGAGAGAGAGATTGAGAGAGAGAGCATCTTCAAAGTCCTTACCTGGCCTCTGTCCATCAATCAGGAGAGCTCCAGCCAGGAGCAGGAACCAGGTCAGAAGGAGCTGTTGGAATCTCATGTTGCAGGCAGGCACCCTCTCTGTGTGGATCCAATATTTATAACACTTGCAGCAAACAAGACACCCTTCCGGAAATGTGTCTGCAGTGTCTCTGGCTCAGCTCACATTCTAAAGACAAGCTTCAGCGGAGAGCTGCCAGCTGCCTCTTTCTAGCAAGGTTAATGATCATAGAAGGCAAGGTGACTCTTTCTGCACTCTGGCCTGTGGTGCCTCCCTGTGTTTCCCTCTTCTTCTCCTCCTTTTTTCTTTCTTTTGTCACTCCCACTTATTTTCCATAAGCAAACAACAGGAAGGGGAGGGGGGAATGCCCCCTGTAAACTGCAGCTTCTGTCAACCTCTGTAGAACAAGAAGCCCAGTGAACACAATGGCTCAACTTCCCTTTCCATTCAATGCCAGGCAAGGATCAAATATGCAAAATGAGTGGGTCGCCTTCCTCCTCCCATTGGCAACTGTTTCTGCTTTGCTGCCTTTGCCCATATTGGCCCCACATGTGAAAGAGAGATGCTGAGGGACAGGAAGTCTGTCCTTTTGTCCCACTCTGAAAAGGGCCTGTTTAAGAACAGCAAAAAGCATCGGGGACCCCCCTGTTGTTGTTATCCCCCCCCCCACCAAACCTTTATCCCTTTATCAATTAGCTGCAAAGTAGCATCTATTCAAAGAGTGTGTCAGTGAGGGGAAATGTAAGCTGCTCGATCTACCATTCTTTTTGTTGGGTTCTTTTTATTGGTCGCAGCAAGTGGTTTGGTTGTTATTTACCTTTAGTTTTACAGCAGTGGTTCCCAACCTTGTTTTGACCAGGGACCACTCTCCAACATTACTACTAAAAATGTTGCAAATCCGTTTTTGGATAAGTTTAGATTTGGTTTGGTTATTTGGGGTGCTGATTCAGAAAATTGCATTGGATAAACCACATCAGTTCTAGTTTCTGATACTTTACTTTACTTACTTAGGCGATCCCTTGTAGCTTGAGGATGATTGTCTTCCAGATGTGGTGTCTTGGCGGTGGGTCCGTAGGTGTCTGTGGAGCCCTATTCTTGATCCGCGTGTTCTCCTGCAGTTTCCAGACAAAAGGCAGCCCTGGTCAGGGTTGGCTTGATGTGCCTTCCTCTTGGCATGTTTCTCCCTTTTGCCCTCCATTCATGCTCTTCGAATTCTGCAGCACTGCTGGTCTCAGCTGACCTCCAATTAGAGCACTCAAGGACTAAGGCTTCTCAGTTCTCAGTATCTATGCCACAGTTTTTGAGGTTGGCTTTGAGTCCATCTTTAAATCTCTTTTCCTGTCCTCCAACATTCCGTTTTCAATTCTTGAGTTCGGAGTAGAGTAACTGCTTTGGGAGATGGTGATCAGGAATTCGGACAGCATGATCAGTCCAACAGAGTTGATGGCAGAGGAGCATCACTTCAGTGCTGGTGGTCTTTGCTTCTTCCATCAGACCGACATTTGTCCGCCTGTCCTCCCAAGAGGTTTGCAGGATTTTTCAGAGGCAATGCTGATGGAATCGTTTCAGGAGTTGCGTGTGATGTCTGTAGATAGTCCATGTTCTGCAGGTGTATAGCAAGATTGGGAGGACAATGGCTTTCTAAATAAGCACCTTGATATCCCTACGGATGTCCCGGTCCTCAAACACTCTGTGCTTCATTCAGAAAAATGCTGCACTTGCAGAGCTCAGGCGTTGTTGTAATTCAGTGTAAATATATTTTTGTGGAGAGGTGGCTGCCAAGGTAGCGGAAATTATCAACATTTTCTAATATTACACCATTAAGCTGAATTTCTGGCATTGGAGAGGGATTGGTGCCTGCTGGAAGAGCACTTGGGTTTTTTCAGTGTTCAATGAGAGGCCGAGCTTCTCGTATGCTTCTGCAAAGGTGTTTAGAGTGGCTTGTAGGTCTTCTTCTGAATGTGCACAGATGACATTGTCATCAGCATATTATAGTTCTATAACAGATGTTGTTGTAACCTTGGTTTTGGCTTTCAGTCTGCTAAGGTTAAATAGCTTGCCATCAGTCCGATAGATGATTTCCACTCCGGTGGGAATCTTCCCATCAGCAAAATGAAGTATCAGCAATGAAGATGGAAAATAGGGTGGGGCAATAACACATCCCTGTTTGACACCTGATTCCACTTTAAATGGGTGACTTTGGGAGCCATTGCTGTCCAAGACTGTTGCCATCATGTCATCATGGAGGAGCTGCAGGATGTTCACAAATTTGTCAGAGCACCCGATTTTTTTTGGAGGATGGTCTAGAGAGCACTGCGATTCACTGTGTTGAATGTCTTTGCAAAGTCAATGAATGCCATGTACAGAACATATACCATCCAGTAGTCACCATCTGCTCGGTCACAGAAAACCATATTTAATAATCTAGAGCTGATGTGATAGTAGTAATCAGCCTCTCCCCTCCTGACATCCTCATTGCTTCGGCACTATAAGAGGGTTTTGCGAGACCAGTTGCTCTCGTTGCTGCATGATTTCGAGGTAACGGTGTAGTAATGGTGAGGCCGCAGACCATATTTTAGTTCTTGGGAACCACTGTTGGTCCATGGACCACAGGCTGGGAGTAACTGTTTTACAGAGACAAAAAATATTTTGGCTAGTACTGTATATATAGTAGTGTATGGCTTTTGCGACTAATAAAACAGGGATTGGTTGTAGGCTGTCCATAAGACATATCCTAGAAAGGACAATAACAATAATACCCCACTCCAAATCATAACTCATTTTCTAGCACCAATTCACCACTGTTACAAAAGTGATTTATCTATACCATTCCTGCACAACCCGCAGCCCTTCAGGTGTTTGGGCCTTCAACTCCCAGAAGTTCTAACCAATCTGTTCAATGGTCAGGAATTCTGGGAGTTGAAGTCCAAAACATCTGGAGGGCCATAGGTTGTGCAAGATTGATCTACATCATGGCACACTCACACTATTGATTTCAGGATAACATAGGATACTAGAGGCAGCATGGCATGCTGATTTGAGTGTTACACTATGGCTCTTGGACAACAGGTCTCCACTTAGCTATTAAAATCTACTGGGTGACCTGGGAAAGTCATATTGTCTCACTCTAAAAGGAAAACAATGGTAAACCTCCTTCAAGAAATCCCTATGATAGGGTCACAATAAGTCAGCGTTAACTCAAAGGAACATAACAACAAAAACAACACACAGTGAGCCATTAGTATCTGCTGGGAGTTCCAGGACCCCTCATGGCTATCCAAATACATGGATGCTCAACTTCTGTCATATACAATTGCATAATGACAATTGCATTGTCATTGTTTAATATGTGATGTAATTTTACCTCTACTTTTATGTGTTATGGCACTTGTATGTGATTCTTTAAGCCGCCCTGAGTCCTTCTGGGAGATGGTGGTGGGGGAAAAATAAAGTTGTTGTTGTTGTTGTTGTTGTTGTTGTTGTTGTTGTTGTTTGTTATATTGTGTCCATCATATAAAATAGCAAAACCAAGGTTTGCCTTTTGGCATTTCTTTCTTTCTTTTTTTTTTGGGGGGGGGGGTTGCATATTTGCATATTACAGGACTGACTATATATGATACTTGCATAATGTGGAGAATGGCTTTTGTTTTACTGGCTTCTTTTCTAATCCCAGGGAGGTGAAYTATTCTTACTAGATAAGATTTGTTTTATCTGTAGGGAAACCTACAGATTASCTTTCCCCAGTCTTAATGATTCCTTGACCTAGAGAACAGGAAATCAAGCTTTAAGAGCAACTTTTGCAGGCTTCTGTGGTTTGATATTCCTCTCCATGTTGTTGTGGAGTGGTGCGTGTGTTTTGAAATGATAAAAGCCATGACACTGAAAAAATAACTGAGACAGAGAGGAGTGGGGAGAAAAGGTAGGAGAAGAAAAACAGCACAGAGAGAAAGGGAAAGTTCTGAAGTCAAAGCAAAGGGATATTAGTGTTTTCATTACTGAATCAGAGGGTGAACCTTGGGAGTACATACTAGTGCAGTGGTTCTCAACCTGTGGGTCCCCAGATTTTTTGGTCTTCAACTCCCAGAAATCCTAACAGCTGGTAAACTGGCTGGAATTTCTGGGAGTTGTAGACCAAAACGCCTGGGGACCCACAGGTTGAGAACCACTGCACTAGTGGTTCCCATGTTTCCCTGTTTAGGTTTTAGTCTGAACTTCAAAGAAGCTATCCAAGGTGCTGTATTTTGTTTTAGGAGACAGTTCTGCATGGAAAGCTTTCTTGAAGAGAGCTTTCTTGAAATGCATGGTGTACCTCAGCATATTTCTTTGGTCTTCAACCTGGAGGTTTCCTTCTTTGTCATTTTAATCCTAGCTTAAATGTTGTGGATCAGAACCTGTGTTGTCCTTGATCATTTTTCTGGGCTGAAGGACATTGCAATCAACAACTTCTCCTTTAAAGCTAAATATTTGAATTAACATCACCCAATCCTGAACACTTTAGATGCGTTTTAATAGATTTCCCACCATCCTGAGTCAGCACCAAAATTAGCCATACTGGTTGCTGGTGGTCACAGGAGTGATACTCGTCCAAGACATCTGGAGGAAACTGTTATAAACTGAGGTGAAGAGTTATAGACCGAAGTGAGGTGAGCATAGCTTCCTCTACTGTAAGGTTGAGGCCAATGGTCTTTAGATCTGTCCACATGCTGTAATTATTATATTGTAACACTAGATGACTTTGGCTAGAAACATGCAAGCTGAAAATACAAGGAGTGCCAAATGGCCAGCTATGGATGATAGCCAACTAAATTCCAGGTCTCTCTTTGTAGTGTGGTAATCTATCTAGAACTGTTTTGCTGAACCAACAGATCTTTCAGCAAATATAATATAACCTGATGTTTCCCCTCTGAGGAAACTGTGCCTCTAGCAACCTGATGGCAGACAGATATTCAGCTTGAATGACCTTCTCCATCATTACCATTGCCAGTTTGGGACAAACTGCATTTGTTAAGCTTCAGTTGATGCTGCACCTGGAAACTATTTTTTTTTACTATATATTGAGAAAAATGCACTTTCCTTGCTGGCAGGGGGATTCGGCAAGTTGTAGTTTAATAAAGTAACAATTCCAAGCTCTGGTTTTATGTTACAGTCAGATGGAGTTGAATCAAGAACAGTCTAGTTGTAGCTTCCAAGTCAGGTCTATCATTAATTAACTCCAAGTTTTATTTTGGATTTTAAAGGACCTATCCAAAGTTCTGAATGTATTTTGGGATAGGATTCAGCACCTTGGATAGTTCATTGAAGTCTGAAATAGACCAGAGAAAGGATTCACTATATCTCTGAGCTAGGAGCATTTGAGGACTACTAGTTGCAAGGAGGAGAGGATTTTAGGGTGAGAGAAAGTGCTCCTTCAGGTGCACCACATTT